ACTAGGAAACTGGTTCATGGTATCCTCTCTAACCCAGGCCTACTGTGCACCCCATATCTGTGTTTCAGAAAAGGAACAGGCTGGTCCAATTCAGCCAGAACAACCCTCACAAATCTGAAAATGACACATCGCAGGGTAGACTATTTTACTTATTGACTTTGGGGGCTAACCCTGGAGGTGCTCAGGGTTTACTCCTGGGTCTATGCTCAGGGATCACTCCTGACAGAAATGTGGTGCTGGGGATGGAACCCAGGGCCACTGTAAGGACTATTTCTCTGGCCCAGAGTAGATTATTTTCGATGCTAAGCTGCCTCAAGCTATGTCATGATTACCCAAATCACAATCACCACCAACTGAAAAGCATATTCAAAACTCTTGGGTTGCTATAAATAAAAAAGCAACAAATAAATAAGCATTAGAAACAATAACAACAAAAGACTTTACAATTGTAGTTGAAAGGGAGAAGGAGATTCCAAGAGAAGAGTTCTTAAATGTATTGCCATGTGGTCTCTAACAGCTGCTATACTTTGGGGCCTGCTGTGCATACTTCCCCTTAATAATTACACACGTGGCAGAATTCTTTCACATTCACAACTCTCCGAAAGAATATGAACCCAGTTGATATTTACTTTTATTTTCCTATTCACCATCGCAATGCCTGGCACAAACCAGTTGCTCAGTAAGTATTTGCAGACTCAAAGGGTAAGCAGAGTAACACTTGGAAATATGGATATTCAGTGGTCCTTCCAAACACTGAGAGCTAACAGCCCACACACCGAGATATCTGTCATCATACACTAATTCTGTAAGCAACTTACTTCTCCAGCCATGATTTTTCAACTATGAGCCACAGATACCTAAAGAGAAGTCAATGGGGATCTAGTTAAAGATGGAGACGCTTAAGCTCTAGCATAATCTAAAACAGATCTATAACCATGTGGTTGGGGGTGTAAGTTTTTAACAGGCATCTTGAATGTACACTGAGCTGCTCTAGCAACTGATGGCTTTTGTACGGGACACAAGAACTGCACGTGCAGAAAGCTACACCAATAGGGCACCAGTACCTATATGAATGTGTGACTTGCAAACTAAACCTAAAGTTAACAGCAAACCATTCACGTTTGGGTAAATGATCGTGACACTAGGCTACAAGAAGGCAGTAAGTGGAAACGGAGTTTTAAGGCCAGGTCTACACACAATGAGTCAATGTATAAATAATAGCAGTTACACATATTGAGCTTCTTCTATGTACCTGGCATTGTACCAGAAGCATTTTTTGATCGTTTGGTTTTGAGGCCATAACCAGCAGTGCTCAGTGCCGACTCCTGGTTCGGTGCTCAGGGATCACCGCTGGCAAGGCTTGGAGGATACCAGGGTGCTGGGGAATGAACCCAGGTCTGCCATGTGCAAGTCAAGTTCCCTACTCACTGTACTATCTCTTTTTATTGTGAGTTTTGTGTAAATCAAAGTAAGATTTACAATGATCCTATAATGTGGGTGATCACATTCCCAATTTTCAAATGCAGAACTTAAGGCTTACAGAGATTAAGTTGGTCAAGCTAAATAAATGGATCAGATATCATACAACAACATGTTGCTTAGCAGCAACAAAGAGGAATGAACATGCAACAATGAGCATAAACCTCAAAAGAATTATGCTAAATGAAAGAACCAAACCAAAAAGAATATACTCTATGACTCCATCTATATAAGGCCCTAGAAAATGCCAATTGATCTGCTGAGACAGAAATCATCAGTGTTAACTAGGGGCAGGGGACGGAATAGGGCATGATGAAGAGATTCCCAAGGGACATGAAAAAACCTAGAAATGATGGATGGGTAAGTTCACCATCTTTAATGTGGTGACAATTCTAAGTTTCAAAACTTATCAAACCGTGCATTTTAAGTATGTACAGTTCATGTCAATCATGCCTCAACGAAATCTGTCTAAAAGAAAGTAGAGAGAGCGGGAGAGAGTAGTGTAGGACTGAAGTACACCACAGTATTTCTCAAGCTGATTTTATTTAATGTAATCTTACATTCTTAAAGTATTGCTTTCCCCTTTATGGTCTAGAGCTGAAAAGATTTATTATGGAATACACGAGAATCAGTTTTACATACAGTCACCAGGTAATTTGTAGTGCTCTTACCATGACCTCTAAAACAGAGGAAGAAATAACATAAGCCTATAATGATCACCAACAGCGAATCAGTGTTCTTTCCAAGCATTAGTAATGTTACTGCTGTCAGAAGATTAGGATAAGAATCGAAGAAAATAAATGCTGAGTGAAACCATGCCCAGCAAATTTTTCTTGAGCACCAGTTATATGCCAGACATTTTTAGGTGCCAGGATCTAAAAACAAAGAAATGCCGAAAACATGGTTCAAGGAAGTGCAGAGGTGCCACTGATAGCTTTGCTGATCTAGGCAATGAATGCTGCTGAGCCTCTGAAACAAAAGTCAGGCAGGAAAGCAGTGCCAAGAGAAAATGAAGAGGCGTGTCTAACTGGTCATCAAGATAACTAGCTGACCACAGAAACGGCAGATCGAGCAGCTAGGAGAACATCAACTTGCAGAAGTGGGAAAACACAATGTCTGTGTAAAGAGTGTGGCAGGCCCGTGAGGAACACTGGGTTGTCTTTATCATCGAGGACCAAAGCAAACCCAAGCCTCAGCCAGGGGCACTCTCTGCGGAGTCTGCCTATACTCCCGAGATCTGAAAGGGTTTGCTCAGGGTATTCCTGCTTCCTCCCACAACCCAAAGCCATGGACACAGGTTCCGCTGCCTAGGCCCATGTTGTCCCGGTCCGAGTGAGAATGGTTGTCTAGGCATGGCCTGTGCTGATAGGTGTCTCGCTCAGAGTCAGCTCCCGCCTTGCACCCTGAGCCGTGAGTGTAGACTAGGGCACGTGCAACACTGCAACACTGAACAGAAGATGTAGGTTAGGAAGGGAATGAATGAATAGAAATTATTGTTTCATAGTAGAAATGCTGTGTGTGGGGGGCGGGGGGAGGCGGGTTTACTTAGAAGCTGTATGATGTTTCTTTTATCTATTTGTTTGTTTGTCTATTTATTTATTTATTTGCTTTTTGGGTAATACCCAGCGATGCTCAGGCATTACTCCTAGCTCTGCACTTAGGAAGCACTCCTGGTGGTACTTGGGGGACTATACAGGGATTGAATACGAGTCGGCCACATGCAAGGCAAATGCCTACCCACTATACTATTGCTCCGGTCCCAGCTCTGTGATGTTTCTATGACCAGCAAAGTGCCATGGGAACTTGATGCTTATTTCAATCATTCAGCCTATGGCAAAGTGGCTTCTGCTATCCAATCTTCATTCTGTCACAGTTTTCAAGAAACTCTCGATGACAACAGGAAGTGAGGACTTTGCATTCCACAGATTTCTTTTTATTTCTAATTTTTTTGGTTTGGGGAGAACACTCGTATTGGCTTGGGGGTCACTCCCAGTGGTGCTCAGAGGGCCATGTGGTGCTGAGGATCAACTTGAAACCTCCCTAAGTGTCAGCAGGAAGAAAATTATTAAGGGGCCAGAGAGATAGCACAGGAGGTAACTGGCCTACAGGGGTTTGATCCCCAGCATAACATATGGTCCCCTAAGGACTCCCAGGAACAATTCTGAACATAGAGCCAGGAGTAAGCACTGAGCACAGCCAGGGATGGTCCAAAACCAAAAGAAAAAAGTATACTGTACAGGCAACTGCAATTAAGTATGACTAACTTAAGAACTGAGGCCCTGGGAAGTAGCTCGAAGGGGCAGTATGAATGCCTTGTAAACACGAGGCCCTGAGTTCCACCCCTAGTGCTGTATCCTCTCCACGGTACAGCCTATCCCCTCCCCCCCAAAAAATGTATTTGACCTTGAATTTATTTTTTAAAAATGTATCTTGCTAGGAGCAAAGGAAATGTTTGTTTCCGTTTTAGGAGGCATTCATTGCTTGGGTTAGTTAACAGTGATTAACAGACCCTAAACTGCCTTGAGCAACATGGGAGAGTTGTACACACTCCACCTCAGACCAGAAGAAGAGCCAGGTTGCAGGGTGGGCCCATACTAGGCCAGCAAGCTTCCGGAGCAGGGAGGAAGCAGAGAGCAAGAAGAGTCCTAACGTGGCCCTGGAGTCAGCTCTGCAGTCAGGTGTGAGGCCCGGGCTGGAGGAAACCCATTGGTGGGGCTGTGTCTCACTGAGGGGGCGGGGCGGGGGGGGGGGCAAAGAAAGGCCACCAAAACCCTCCGGCAGCTTTCTGTCAGGCGATTCCTAACCACTGAGGCATACAGGCACACATGCTCCAGGTTTATCTAAATGAGACGTAGCATAACTCACATGATTAACACTAGCCCGACAGTAGAATGCTGGTATTTGAAATCTTATTTGGGGTGGATTAGCTCTGTGACCTTGGCTAAGCTACTCTTGGGGCATTTTCTCAGACTAGGGAACTAGTATTCACCTTGATGTGTATGAGGGTCAAACGGATAACTGAGAAGAAGCCTTGCATGACGCGCGCTCAATCCGTGCTCATCTTTGTTTTTATGCCTGAAAACAACCACGGTGATGCTAACCACCAGCTGAAGTTTACTCAGCAAGTTTGTATTAGCACTTGCCCCATGTTCTGAGCATATGTTGTGGTTGTTATTATTTCATTGATTTGGAGCTTTGAACTGGAGCTTTCCAAATCATTTGATCCCTGATGAATCAGAAAGGTATGGCACGGTCGATTACCCTGAACAGAAAACTGAATCTAAGTTTGGGTTTACCTGGGATGAACATATAACTTCCTTTTGAAAGTATCTTGCAATGCAAGTATTTCTACAAAACTGCCCTTTGGGGAATAAATGTCAAACATAAAACAAAATTAAAGTCTGAAAAAAAACCTGAGAGCCTAGGGTATTTTTCATTTTCCTCTCTCTTCCCAATAAGGGAAGCTGGGATGGTACCCTGGGCACACAAAACCAGCAAACACATCACACCTGGGAACCTACCTCCTTCTGGGCACCTTTGATTTCGGAACAGTCCAGTTTTTTTAAGACATCCTGAGTGATCGAGAGTGCATCTGAGAAGACAGTTGCATTTTCCAGAAAAAAAGTCAGTGGGTACAGTTTCCTCTCATGCTCTGAACATAAACAAAACAACAAAAACAGTGATTCATGCTGTGAAGAGATTTTTTTTTTTTAAAGTTCAAGCTGTTGAAGAAGCTGCAGGTCATATCCTGCATTTAACTGCCATCTACCACACCGGTGACCGGTAATGATTACACAGTGTCTCAACAGACTAGTTTCTGGGGCCAGCCTCATCCTGGCTAGAAGAATGGGTAGCTATTGAACACAGGGCCTCATTCTTGCAACACTGCCTTTCTGCCCTTTCACTCATCCTCAGCCTTCCAGCAACCCAGTGTCACGGAAGTTTCTGGAGGAATGCCCGGCAGATGCTACACTGTGTTTTGCTGTGCTATCTAAAACGGACTTGGGCAGATTTATCTGAGACCAAGTAAGAAAAAAATTAAATCTCCGAAGTGCAAGGGAACAGGTGACAACCAACCATCCCATGATGAGTACCTGGTACCAGGCTTGCTTCCTTTGCCTCCTCACACGTGACTGCAATGGGGGAGGCGGGACAAAGTCCAGTGGTCAGGGGAGCCTCTGCTGGGGTGTGCACGTTGCCCTGGAGCTGCTGGGTGGTGGCAGGATCCACGCTTATCTCCTGCACAGCAGGAGACCCTGCTTCTTCGACCCCCGCTGACCCAGGGACCGCTGGCGGGGGGCAGAGCTCCAGGGATGCACGAGGCTCTCCAGCACCCCCCGAGCAGAGGCTCTCTCCTTCCGGTCTCTCTGTCTCTTTCTGGAACGAGTCTGAGGATGGTGCAGGGTCATCCCGCACCACCTGCCCCTGTACGGAGCAGTTCACGAGGCTGGTCAGGAGGTTTTTACAACTCACAGCCACATCAAACATCTGCAGGCTGTCAGCCAGAGAGATGATTTTGGAGAAGTTGTGCTTGCCCACTGGGAGTTTGCCAGTGTACATCATTTCCAACAGGAGGGCAAACTCCTCTGGGCTCACCACCGATGCGTCGATGGAGATGGTGTCGGTATTGTCCAGCAGGGTTTTGAAGAGGAGGCTGGCAGCCGCCAGGACCAGCTTGTGGGCCCGGAAGTAGATGGTGCCAATGGAGATGGTACAGTCACAGAACTGCTGCTCCTTGCACAGGGTGTACAGCTGCTGCAGCAGCTGCCGACTGTAATTGGGGAGCTCCATCGCATCCGCTCTGCCCTGAGGACCTCTTTCCTTCTCTCCTTCCAGAGCACTGGATGCAAGGGAAACAAGAAAAATAGCATGTTACTATTCCACAGACATCAGGGAAACGCCTTGACTGAAATACCAAAGCAAACAAACAAACAAAAGGGCAATTTACTCATTCATTTGACAAATGCCACTCAATAGGGAAAGATGCTGTGCCAGGCATCCTAAATTAATAATGATGATCATTATAAAATTACCACGTGTTTAATTACACGGATGGGGCCAAGCTTAGGGCTTCATCTGGAAGTTCACACTTGAGCCTTATAGCAACTCAACAGAAAGGATGCTGCACCCTGGCCCAGAGGAATAATAGTACAGTAGCTTACAGCACCTGCCTTGTAAGTGTTTGGTCTAGAGTACAAATCCTGGTGGCCATGTGTGCCAAGCACGATCTGAGCAACTCAACTGTTTGTGCCAGGCAGTTCTGCTGTCTGCTGCTCTGGGCACAGTGGGCAGTTTCCATCTGCGCTGCAGCCAGGCATGTGTGAGTACCACAAGAAAAGGGTGACCACCCCACTGAGCAATGCAACTGAAAAGATGCGCAGATGCCTTGGCCAAGAAGCCTGACCCTTGGCGAGCAATATAAGCGTCACAGACTCCAGCAAACACCGCCACCGTAACTGGTCTGTCTCGAGTGACAGTGAGCCTCCTCGGCCCCCCACCCCCTCACCAAGCATGGTGTCAGTGAACCTTAGCGAGCAGTGTGGCTGAGTGTGAGAGCACCGTGACCCAAGAGATGGCCCCAGTGAGCACCACAGCAACACGTATGCAACTATGGAGACAATAACACCCACACCAACAAAGAGGAGGGGAACGGGCCTTGTAAGCTGTCTGTGCCAGGGGACACTGGGACCACACACCATGGTCATGCGGTTCTAGGGATCAAGGCACGCAACCCATTCCTCTGAGCCACCTCCCTGTTAGGAGACAGCAGTTAGTCAGATTTGACCACTCTACACAGGGTTTCAACTTTCAGAGTAGAAGCCAACAGCAAAGTTCTTAAAAAGGGCCCCCGTCCCTTCCTGACCTGACTGCTGCTAGTTCCAACCTCAGGGGCCACTTCCCTCACCCACTCTCTCAGCACACCACCTTCCAGTCTGATCCTACAATATACCAGGTGTGCATTCCATGGTCCTCACGATGGGTCTCCAGGTGCTTTGGCCCCTCTTCTGTGCCTGCTGCAGTATCAGAGCCCCTCCCTGACTGTGTCTGCACTGGCTACTTCCTCTCCAACCTCAGAACCTCCCACCCCTCTTCCTTTTAAAAATCCATTTTATTCTTCATCAATCTGTCAATCCTGTCCATGTCCGGGCCGGGTGAGGTTTCCCATGTTGGGCTGGAGCGACAGCACAGCGGTAGGGCGTTTGCCTTGCACGCAGCTGGCCCAGTCAAGCTGGGTTCGATTCCTCCACCCCTCTTGGAGAGCCTGGCAAGCTACCGAGAGTATCTCGCCTGCACGGCAAAGCCTGGCAAGCTACCCGTAACGTATTCAACATGCCAAACACAGTAACAAGTCTCACGATGGAAATGTTACTGGCCCCACTTGAGCAAACAACGGGAGGACCGTGACCGTGACTTATCTCTACTATTCTTGGGTGTAAGTCTCCCATTTATTCTTCATCATAGCATTTAACTGAAAGGTGACATTTCTGCTTGTTGATTCTGTATGTAAATTATTAGAATGTAAGCTCCACTCAGGAAGGGACTTAAAAAAAAAAAAAACCCTAGGTTGGAGCCCAGTGCTTAGAATTCTGCCTGTCACAAACATTGCCAGTCAGTTGGTGGAATGAATAAATGAATAGGGAGAAATGTTAAGACAGAAATTTGCATATGAAAACCCTGCTTGGCAATGTCCTGAACCTACAGGTCGGCTTTGAGGAGCCGCTAACAGTTGTCCTGTCTGTATAAGATGAGTAACTACTGCTGAGGTGAAAGTAGAGGAAAATGCCCTCCAAGCAGAGATGCCAACAGGAGGCACCCAGAGAAGAAAATATGAAAAATTGGAGGGAGGATTAGGAGATGGGATTACAAAGAGTTCAGAGAACCTGGGAGAGACAGCACAGGGCTGGTGTGCCTGCTTTGTGTGCGGGAGCCTTGGGTCAATCCCCAGCACCTACCTCCTCTTCCCTGGACCCTCCCTGAAGTGACCCTGCGCGATGAGCCAGGAGTAGCCCCTGAGCACTGTCAGGCAGGGCCTCTCCTGTGCAGCCCCTCTCAAAAAATTAACTGAATAAACAGAAAGATCAACACCTCTTTTTATGTACATGAACGAAAGACATTAAGGTCACTGCAGTGCCCCAAACTGAAGAAACAGGTGGAGAGAGATAGAGGAGAAAGACATAGAGGACAGAGACAAAGATACACATGAGCAGAAGAAATCCGCTATGGAGAAACCTGCAGAGAAACAGGAAACACTGCAGAAACTGATGAACTGCTGGAGGCACAGCATGGACAAGTCTGAGAGTGGTCCACAGGGATGGACCAAGCCATAATTTTGTGAGTTTACTTCCAGAACTTCTACCAGTAAATAAATAGGCAGGAGAGAAGAAATAAACGAATTTAAAATATGCCAGAATATTTTGTTTGCAACAAGGCCTGCCCCTAGGAGAAGCTATTTTCCAGAATCTAAACTGCTGGGGTCTAATCAGAGTCTAAACAACTGGAGTCAGGACTGGGAGGATTAATTAATATTGTCCCACATCCAAAGCAATCCATAGGTCCAACATAAAGCCCTAACAAAATTCCATGACATTTTTTTACAGAAATAAACAACCTCGAAATGTGTAAAGACAATTGTGAAAATGAACAAAGCAGGAAGCATCACACTTCCTGACTTCCAACAGCATTTCAGAGCTTCAGTTATCAAAACAGCGTGGTACTGGCATAAAAACAAAATGCATGGAACAGAATCGAGAGCCCAGAAATACAACCACACATATATGGACATTCCACTGACAACAAAAGAGTTATGATCATAACCATAAGTGGAAAAAGAACATTCTCTTCAATAAACAGTACTGGAAAAACCAGACTGTCATTTGCAAAGAATGAAAATGAACCACTATCTAATATCACACAAAAAAAATTAACTTGGGTGGAGAGAGTTCAATGGATTGAGTATATACTCAGCAAGAGAGGTGTGGGGGTTTGATCCCCAGCATCAAGTGGTCCAGGAAGTACTGCCAGGAGCAAACTCCGACACAAAGTCAGGAGTTGGCCCCTGGGTACCACTAGGTGTGGCTTCCAAAACAAATATATACAGAATAGATATTAAACATAACCCTTGAATATGAGTTCTGAAATCATAGAACTCCTAGAAAACATAGGTTGCTGGTAAGCTCATTGACATCATACCTGGAGAAGAATTTTTTAGATATAATACCAAAAGCTAAGGTAACAGAGGCAAAAAAAAAAAACCACCAAAACCCAAAAAACCTCTATCAAACAAAAATGCTTTTACATAACAAAGAGAAACATTAATGAGGTGAAAAAGGAACCTGATAAATGGGGAAAATATGCAACTCCTATGTCTAAATAGGGGGATAAGCAGAGAAAGAATTCATATAGCAATAGCAAAAAATTCAATCTGATTCAAAAATAGGCAGGGAATCTGAATAGATATTTTTTCAAAGAAGACAATACAGATGGACAACAGGTCTATGAAGACATTCAATATCAATAATTGTCAGGAAAATGAAAATTGAAACCTGGAGGAGCTATCACCTCAAACCTATTAGAACGGCTATTACTAAAGGGAGAAATAGTGTCAGTAGGGATGTGCAAAAAAGAGAACCCTATGTTCTATTGGTGGGATGTGAAATGGTGGAGCAACTATGGAAAAATGTGTGGAGGTACCTAAAAAAATTAAAAATAGAACCCAACGCTCTAATACTACCCCACTTGAACGAACAGTTACTACAGAGCTACAATAACTGAGACAGTGTGGGATTGATGAGAGAAAAGATGAACAGACCCACACAAATGAAGTGAACGTTGTCTTTGACAAAGAAGCAAAGATAGCACAGTAGAACAAAGGCAGTACTTTCAACAGAAGGACATCAATATGCAAATGACAAGCAAAAAGGTCAGGACACAGGGACCAGAGAGATAGTAGGGGGTGAAGGCTCATGCTTTGCATGCAGTCAGACTGGTTTGATCTTGGCACCACATGGTCCCTAAATATTTCTGGGTACAGTTCTGGAGGCCCACCAAGCACAGGTAATCTCTGAAACCACAGGACCTCTGAGGCAACACATCCTTGGGTGCTGGCATTAACCCATCCCCATGCAAGCTGGGAAGTGCCTGCAGGGACCCTGGGGCTTCTGCAGCACCCTGCTTGTTCCACCACCGAAGTCTGCACAGACAGACACCTCACAGTGTTTGCAAAATTAACTTAAAATGACTCATATACATGAATGTAAAGCAAGATACTATAAACCTCCTACAAAATATCATAGGAGAAAATTTAGAACTTGGGGAGAGGGACAATTTAGATATAGTAAAAAAGGCATGATCCCTGAAAAAAAAAAAGATAAGCTGACTTCATTAAAATTAAAAAAAAAAAACTTGTGCTCTGTAAAAGATATTGGCAAGAAAATGAGAAGATAAGTCACAGTCTGGGAGAAAATTTTTCCAAAAGACATAGGATAAAGCACTATTATTCAAGTTATATAAAGAATTCTTAAAACTCAATAGTGAAATATCAAACAGCCTGATTTAAAAATGTACCAAAAATCTTAATAGATATCCCACCAAAAATATATGGATGTCAAATAACCATAAATAAATGTTAACATCGTAATTTCATAAGAAAATTACAAATTAAAGCTATATGAGATATTACCACACACTTATTAGAATGGCCGACATCTGATATACTGACCACAGCAAATGCCGGTAAGGATATGAAACAAATAGGAACTCTTGCTGTTGGCAGAAATGCAAATGACAGTCATTTTGGAAGACAGCTGGGCAGTTTTTCACAAAACTTTACATACCCATCAT